ATTTTCCTCAGGGCTCAGGCTGCCCCACAGAAAGCAGTGCACACACCAAAGGGGAATGCCAAGTATGTGTGCTTGAGAGCGCATCCACACGTATGTTGGAGAGGTCGGCTGCAGAGCCCAGAGCATCCCCTCACCCCCCAGGGGCGCTGCCTTCCCCCAGGCTGGGGAGGAGAAAGTTTGGGAAGGCAACTGGATGGGAAAAGATGCAGTAGTCCCAGACGTCAGGGCAGACAGACATACCAGTGCCAGAATGCTGTCAGCATGCTTCTCCAGGGCACGGGGTTGGTAGTACGTATCCTGCCAAAACAGCCGAGTCAAGGACCATGTCCATTGACAAGTCCTTCCTCCTCCCTTTGAGAGCCCAGACATATGTCCCCTGGTTCTAGCCTCCAAAGTTATCCCTCCTGGGACATCCCTGGCTCCCAAAGAAGCCGCTCTTCCCAACCCCCACTCTAAACCCGATTTCCTACCTCAGACCATGAGAACATAGGGGCCTGGACTTGCGAGCAAAAGTGACAGCCTCACTGGACATTTCGTGATCCTTTTCCACAACCCAGTTTCAAATGCGTTGTGGGCATGTGTATATGGGGACAGGAGTTAGAGAAGAAAGGAGAGACACTGTGACAACTTGAAGAGGGAAAGAAGATCAGAAGTAACAGTGGGGTGATTAAGGAAGAGAATGTGGCTGAGGGCGGGCAGCTGTGGAGGGCAATAAACAGAGTCTGAGACTACCAATGAAAAGGTAGAGAACATGTAGGGGCACAGTCTACCACCACCCCCAGCTTTCACGGATGCGATGACCCTAGGGCCTACAAGATAGGGTGGGCGGTTGAGGGGGGGGGCAGCGGATACGTATGTAGAAATCATCTTGAAATTCAAGGCCAGGGTGGAAGGAAGATAAAACAGAACTGGGGAGGGAACCGAGGCAGAAGAAATCGAGAGTCTGACGGCAAAATCATCCAGGTCTCGAATCCGCGCAGGGTCTCTTCCAGGACTTAGAGTCAACTGGGACCAGCACGAACCACGAAAGACAGGGTGGGGGGCCGCGAGAGGAAAAAGCAAGGAATGGCAGTCAGAATGAGAAAGCGGTAGCAAACGGCGATAAAGGAGGCAGCCGGTCCGCAGGCGTGACTTTAACCCAGGAAGCACAAAGAGCACTTTGCAGACAACTGGCTTGACAAGGAGGCTCCCCCGATTTCCAATAATGGGCGCTGCTGGGGAGCAAAGGCCGCAAAGGGGTTTGGGCCGTACCATGTTTTTGACCAGGGGAGAACTCGACTCACCCAGGAGCTGGAAGGGGGGGTAGTGACTGAAGTTGGAGTCTCGGGGACGCTGGACGGGGCCCTTTCTGAGTCCCTTTCCCGGTAGATTTTGTAGAGCCGGGGGCCTAGGACGCAGCTCAGCAGCTTCGCCATGGCCCCCGCTCCGGCCGCTACTCTCCCAGTAGCAGGTCCTCTTGCTGGCCCCGCCCTTTCCCGGCCTCTAAGGTATTGCGTGCCCTTGACGTCAGCACGTACCGGTTCCGCCTCGAGCCCTGGGGAGACATTTTCCGCGCTCCTTGGGACGGTTTTCGTGCAGATGGACCTACGGATAGAGCAATGGTCAGAAATTAGTTGGAGGCGTTTGGAACGCGGAGAGTTAGAACGTATCAGGCGTAGTTAAGTTCCCCCCCGCCTTTTTAAAAAAATTCCTTAATATTGGCAGACTCTCGAGCGACAGTGGGAATGAAGGGTAATGATTAGGAGCACTTGGCAAGAGCAACAAAAAAGAAAAGGTCTTTAGGAATACATCTAACCAAAGAAATGCAAGATTTCATGAAGAAAATTACGAATGTTTTTGAAAGAGCTAAACAAAGGCTTGAATAAACAGAGCTGCATCGCAGTCATGGATAGGAGGATTCAGTATTGTTAAGGGGTGTGAAATACGGAAAAAAAAGAAAAGAAAAGATGAATTATCGCTCTCAAGCGTGGACGAATCTCAAAACCTCAAAACTCAACAAAAATGTTGAGGGGAAAAAAGAAAGCCATAGGTCACATACAACCTGACACCATTTGGACATATAACGTCCAAAAAGAAAATTTAATGATCAAGAGAGTGAAAGACAAAGAGCAAATTTAGAATAGTGTAACACAGCGTAGAGAACCTTTGAAATAGTAATACTGTTTCTTATTAGAGATTCAGGTTTGTTTTCTTTTTCCTTGTACCTTACACTCACATAAAATATACATTCTTTAGCTTTTTATTGCAGTAAACACCTATACAGAAAAGTGCACCATTTCAATATATCCATGTACTCAGCCTCCAGATCAAGAATACATTATACCACATCTACAAGATCTTCCTCAAATCACTACCTGCCCCACCAAGGGTAACCACTATCTTTATTTCTAAACTCATAGATTAGTTTTGCCTAATTTCGTACTTTACGGAAATGGAATCATACAAATCATGCCCTTTGTTTCTTGCTTCTTTTACTTATTATGTTACTTTTTTAAAAGATTTTATTTATTTATTTGACAGAGAGAGATCACAAGTAGGCAGAGAGGCAGAGAGAGAGAAGGGGAAGCAGGCTCCCTGCTGAGCAGAGAGCCGGATGCGGGGCTCGATCCCAGGATCGAGATCATGACCTGAGCCGAAGGCAGAGGCTTAACCCACTGAGCCATCCAGGCACCCCTATGTTACGTTTTGATATAGTCTTTGGTATGCATAGAATATTTAATCAGAAACAATTTTAAAGGGGCACCTAGGTGGCTCAGGTGATTAAGCATCTGCTTTCAGCTCAGGTCAAGTTGGGCTTTCAGTGGGGAGCCTGCTTCTCCCTCTCCCACTGTCCCTATCCATCCATCCCCACCCGCTTGTGTTCTCTCTCTCTCTCTCAAATAAATAAGATCTTAAAAAAAAAAAAAAAAGGAAAAGAATTTTAGAGTTAAAAAAACACCCAATTCAGGGACACCTGGGTGGCTCAGTGGGTTAAAGCCTCTGCCTTCGGCTCGGGTCATGGTCCCAGGGTCCTGGGATCGAGCCCCGCATCAGGCTGTCATCAGCAGGGAGCCTGCTTCCCTTCTTCGCTCTCTGCCTACTTATGATCTGTCTGTCAAATAAATAAATAAAATATTTTAAAACAACAACAACAACACCCAATTCAAAGAGATACAGGCATCCTTATGTTTATAGCAGTATTATTTACAATAGTCAATATACGGAAACAGGCCATGTGTCCATTGATTGATGAACGGAGAAAGAAGATGTGAGATACGTGTGTGTATACACACACACACGCGCGCACACATATCTCTATAAAATATTATGCAGCCATAAAAAAGAATGAAGTCTTGCCATTTGCAATGATATGGATGGAGCTAGAGAGTATAATCTTAAGCAAGATAAGTCAGCCAGAAAAAGACAAATACCATATGATTTCAGTCATATGTGGAATTTTTAGAAGATTTTATTTATTTATTTAACACAGAGAGAGCATGCACAAGAGAGCACACACTGGGGGAGCGGCAGAGGGAGAAGGAGAAGCAGGCTCCCTGCTGACCAGGGAGCCCAATGTGGGGCTCCATCGCAGAACCCCGAAATCATGACCTGAGCTAAAGGCAGATGCTTAACTGACTGAGCCACCCAGGCGTCCCCATATGTGGAATTTAAGAAGCAAAACAAACAAGCAAAGGGAAAAAAGAGAGAAAGAAACAGATTCTTAATTATAGAGAACAATCTGATGGTTGGGGGAGTGGGCGATGGGTGGAAAAGGTGATGGGAATGAAGGAGGGCACTTGTCATGAGCACCAGGTGATGTTTAGAAGTGTTGAAGCATTATATTGTACACCTGAAACTAATAAAACACTGTATGTTAACTAACTGGAATTAAAATAAAAACTTAAAGGGTCTCCTGGGTGGCTCAATCAGTTAAGTGTCTGCCTTTTGGCTCAGGTCATGATCCTAGTCAGGATCCCCCGGGGGTCCTGGGATTGAGCTCTGCATTGGGCAGAGTTCGTGTGGGGAGTCTGCTGCTCCCTCTCCTTCTGTGGCACACCCCCCTCACGTTCCCGCACTCTCTCTCCAATAAATAAATTTTTTAAAAAATAAATAGAAACTTAAAAATAGATCAACCATACATTTTTTTTAGAAACTAACCTTTAAAAATAAATAACACATTTGGGGCGCCTGAGTGGCTCAGTGGGTTAAAGCCTCTGCTTTCTGCTCAGGTCATGATCCCAGGGTCCTGGGATCGAGCCCCACATCGGGCTCTCTGCTCAGCAGAGAGCCTGCTTCCCTTCCTCTCTCTCTGCCTGCCTCTGCCTACTTGTGATCTCTCGCTGTCAAATAAATAAAATCTTTAAAAAAATAAAAGTAAATAACACATTAAAAACTATTAGAGCTATATGAAGCTCTGCTTTGAGAATCCTGCCCGGGGTAAAGGGATTTGGTGTCCAGGCCCCTGTTATCCTGTTCCTTCAGTAGTAACTTAATACACTCATCAGGAGCTCAGAAGAGGTCAATGGTATGCCAGGGAGCCACAGGGAAAGTCATTCCAGATTATTTATGGAGTATTGACTAGGTATGCAGTCTTATGCCGGGTTCTGTGGAGACCAACATGAAGACTCAGGTTCTTCGCTCATGGTTGGCATCTCTCCTAGGGTGGAGGAAAAAGAGCACAGAATGTACTTCCAGACTGAATGAAGGTAGACAGCTGTGCCCCCTTCTGCAGAGGCTTTTTAGCACAAAGTCTTTGATCTGTCTCTTTCAGCTGATGTGGAGTCCGAAGTGTGAGGAGATCCTCTTCAGAACACCCTGGACTGGGTCTTTTCCCCCTCAGAACTGAAAGGTGGTGGTCACTTTTTCCCCAGTAAACATGAAGCTGGGCTTTATCTCCCCAGCATTCCCATCCCCTCAGAGGCCCATGTCACTCTAGACCAGGGAGCGTGGGACTGTATCTGGGTTTTGTTTCCTCTACAGGACACCAGGTCCTGGGCAAGAGAACTTGGAAGCCTCTCCCCATGGCGGTCTTACTCCTCCTCCTTCGGTTCCTATGTGGAGCCCCCTGGGCTGCTGCAGGTAAGGAGGAGGAAGTGGGGGATTCTTTGATTATTCGGAAGGTTGTAAGGAACTACTGCTGTTTCTCCTCAGAGGCCTGGGGAAGGCATTTGACTCAAGGAGATAGATTTACCCCAACTGATTCCCCCCTTCCTTTAATTCTGGGGAAGACCCAGAGACAATGAGGGTCCAGGTTATGTACAGTTTTTCTTTTTTTAATGTTTAATCTTTTGAAAATTATTTATTAATTTATCAGAGAGAGAGAGAGTGTGAGTGAGCACAAGCAGGGGGAACAGCAGGCCGAGGGAGAAGGAGGCTCCCCACTGAACAGGGAGCCTGATGCGGGCTGGATCCCAGGACCCTGAGATCATGACCTGAACCCAAGGCAGACGCTTAACCGACTGAGCCACTGAGGTGTCCCTAATGTTTAATTTTCTAATTTGGGGGCTTTTGTTTTGTTGTCTTTTTTTTTTTTTTTTTGGTTATGTACAGTTTCCTTTAGAAAATAAGAATAGATGAGAAAATGCGTCCAGAAAAGGAGAAAGGAGAGGAAGAGAAAGGGTCTTTGCCAACTATTCTAGCCTTTTTTCTCTTGCCTTCAGATTCCTTCATCCACTGGAGGAGAGGGAGGAAGGCCCTACCTTCTCCTCCCCTCCTCACTTTTTCGTAGCTGTCACTTGAGAAAGTGCTCATAGCCAGACCCATGCTGGGGGAGTCCCCAGGAGGGGCAGAAGCTGGGGGTTGGAGGTCAAGTGGGAGCTGTTGATCTGATGGCAGTTTCTAGTCTCATACAATCTCCTCCCCACAGACAACATCCAGACCATCTATGTAGCCTCGGGGGAGGCATTGGAGCTGCCATGTCCCTTACCGCCCACCCTGAGTGGAGACGAACTCCTATCCTGGTTCCACAGCCCAGCAGCAGGTTCCTCCACTGCCCTGGTGGCCCAAGTCCAAGTGGTCAGGCCAGCCCCAGACCTCGGGAGGCCCACCAGGCCATCCAGGCTCAAACTACTGGGGAACTTCTCACTGTGGCTGGAAGGGTCCAAGGAGGGAGATGCTGGTCGGTACTGGTGTGCTGTGCTGGGTCAGCACCACAGGTACCAGAACTGGAGGATGTATGATGTCTCCGTGCTCAGAGGTGAGTGAAGGCGTGTAAATCGGGGGCCACTGGGGGTCAGGAAGCCCAGCAGAGAACTAAGGTCCCTCTCTCCCCACAGGATCCCAGCTATCTGCAAGGGCTGCCGACGGATCCCCCTGCTCTGTCCTTGTGTGCTCTGTGGCCCCTGCCAGACGCCTAGACTCTGTGACCTGGCTAGAGGGAAAGGGTCCTGTGAGGGGCCGTGTACTGTCATTTTGGGGCGATGGGGCTGCCCTGCTCTTGGTGTGTCCTGGGGAGGGGCTCTCTGAGTCGGGGGAACATAGACCAAGAATCATCCGCTGCCTCATGCCTCACAACAAAGGGGTCAGCTTTAGCCTGACAGGTAAACTGAGGGAGGATTTGGGAGAGGATATTGCCTCTGGCACATTCTGCACCTGCTGACTAGGGGAGGTGGACATGACTTTGTAATTGGCCAGATTTGGGTGGGTGGGGGTGATTTCTGGTGGAGCAGACCATCACCTGTAGGAAGAGGGCCCTTTTTCTCATTGATAACTCCCTAATAGAGAAGGGGGTTGTTTAAGCCAACTCTCTGGTGGAAGAGACCATTGGCCAAAAGGGATGAGAAGGATTCTGGTGGAATACACCATTAATTACAAATAGGGTGATCTATGACTTTTATGGAATATCTCATAGCAGACATGAAGAAAAGAATTATTGATGCGGGAATTGTCTTTTGAAGTAAAGATACATGTGCTAATGTTATAATGGACTGCTGTGAGTGAAAATAGAAGGGGAAAAATATATATAATTGTTTTAACAATTAGAAGTCCATTACCCACAGAAGGAATGCTACTGAATGTAGAATGACCCATTTATGAGGCAGGAGGGAGGAGCAAACGGACATTATTTTGGTAAGCAAAGGCCAATTAATGTGTCTTACTTCCCTCTACATCCTCAGCACCTAATATGGTGCCTGGCATTTGGTGGGCACTCAGGGAATGCTTATGGACTAAAAGAATGAATTGGAAGGCACTACTTTTTCCTGAAAGTTTGGATTACTATTAAGGATATGAGGAAGAATTGCAGTTATGGCTGATGGTCTGTTCTGGAGTTAGCTGTCCATAGGTGGGTACAGGTGTGTTGATATTTGCTACCAACAGAGGTTGACGGTGTCAACATGAAAGGCTTGAAAATGGGCAAAGTGGGATGGTGGAAACTAGGGACAAAGAAGCTTATGAAGTCTTTTGGTGGTAAGAGCCTGCTGGACTACAGGGGGAAAACCTCTCTCTGGGGCATGGGAACAAACCCCTCACTGCCTCCCTCCTTATCCCTGTTGTCTTGCCCTTACTGTAGCCTCCACGGATGCCTCCCCTGCCCTCTGTGCCCCTTCCACGGGCTGGGATGTGTCCTGGATCGTGATGCTCTTGCTCACAGTGGGTCAGGGGTTCACCATCCTAGCTGTCAGCATCGTGCTCTGCAGACAGAGGGCCCAGGGGGCTCAGTGCAGAGGTGAGTCCCTCCCTCCCAGGGGGAAAGAAGAGAGCATGGTGTGAGTGGGCGGATGGCAGAGGGTTGGGCTCACATCTTGCCTCTATACCCTACCTTCTCTAGGGGAGGAGGTAGTAAGGAATATAGGTCTGAATTATCTGGTGATTTCTCTGCTGCACCCCGTGTGGCTCCTTCTTCCCAGGTGCCTCAATTCCTCAGTTCAAACCTGAAATCCAGGTCTATGAGAACATCCATTTGGCCCGTCTCAGGTGAGGAACACTCCGGGGTGCGGGCTTAAATCCCAGAGGAGACTGGGGTTGGGGTGGGTATGGGGGCCCCTGTTCCTGAGGAGGTAGAGAATGAAAGTATCTTTAATCTGTCTTTCTGCTTCACAAAACCCATAGCCCACCTGCCCCCAAGATCAGATGATCTCCATGACATCTGCTGGAAGTGTGACCTGCTGTCCCCCTGGCCATCTGGCACCTGAGGCTTCGCCTGAAAACCTTGGCAAGGGGGGGAAGGGCTGCGAGTGCTGCCCTACAGTCCAGCTGGTCACCAGCAGTCACGCTGTGTGTGTGTGTGTGTGTGTGTGTGTGTGTGTGTGTATGTTCAGGGGCACTGAAGGAAAGCAAAGTATTATTCTGCGATGTCACCTGTGAGATCACAGGTGTGATTTCCTGTTTCATAGCAGCCAGTAAAGGGGTGGTCCTGAGCCCTCAGTACCATGGGACTGAGGGGAGCCCAGGGTGGCTGCCAGGGGGTGAGGAGGGGTGGGGATGGGCAGAGATGAGACAGGAGAATCCAGAGATTTGAGCAATTTTGGAGAGTCAGTCTCAGGGAAACCACTGGACAAATGGAGGCAACTAAAGAGGGAAGGGAAGGGACTCAAGTTAGAGGAAAGAGACAGGCAGGGAGAGAAGACAACAGAAGCACTAGGTGGGAGGACTGAATGACAGAGAATTGGAAGAAGACTGGGTTGCCCTGAAATTAAGCCCGACCATCCCCCACCCCCATCCCCTCATCCCTGCTCACAGAGAAGTGGAAGGAGAACACGCACCTTTAATCAGACCTCAGACTTCCTCACACGGACAGGGAGGGCACTGAGTCAGGACGGGGTGTGTGGGGGGGTTGCACTCCCAGCCGCCCTCCTTATCCTAGCACTTCCTGTGGCATCCGGAGCGAGCAATGAGAGGCTTATCAACATCCTGACACCCTGGGAGGCCCTAGAGTCACATGCTATCTCTGGGGGTAGAGGGAGTGTCCACAGGGGCGGTGGGTGGATTCCCTAGTGGGGTGTGTGCTGGGCTATCTTTGAGCCATGGACAAGCCTGAGCTGGTGGAGCGGGGAAGGGCACCGGTGCTCCTAACTGGTCTGTTCCCAGTCTCAGGCAGAAAGGAGCCAGTTTTCCCGACACACCATCACAAGCAACTCTACCAGACACCCTTTTGTGTGTCTGCTCAAATTTGGGCCTCACTGGAGGAAATCTTTCTCAGAAGCGTCATCGAAAGCCTCCATGCTACAGGGGCTCAAGCTAAGCTATTAGCAAGAAGGAGGAGGGAAATGACACAGAAGGAGAATGAGGTGAAAGTTACAGTTCAGGTCCCAGCAGCCCAGCCCAACCCACTAGGCAGCTCTAGTTTGCTTTTAAAAGAGAGAGATAGAGAGGGAGGGGGGGAGAGTGAAAGAGAACGCGCACACACACACACACACACACACACACACACACACACACGGCAGTGTCCTAGACTCCCAGATAGCACTTTTATTAAATTTACTTTTCACAATTCTCCCAAGAACCTCCTTCCTGAGTTCCTGAACTGCCAAATTAATCTTTCCTAGCAAGACTGTCCTCCTCACCATTCCTGATGCCCCTTCAATCCCCTTGCCTGGGACCCCCAGCTTCAACAAACCACCTGCCTTGACCAAGACCTGGAGCTGAGATAGGGCATCAGCCGTGGGCATCTAGAAAAGACAAAAGACCTAGAACAGGTACTGTTTATGAGGCGGGGCTCTGGGCAGGTGCCTATCCAGGCTAGAGTGGTGCCCGCAGGAACCAGACCTTGGGAGGGGTCTGGGAAGGTGTGAGGCTGGGAATCAGAGTTCTCTACAGAATCAGGTTCTTGGGCATATCTCAGATGCAGGGGTCTCGAAGGCGGTGAGGAGGGGGGCAGAATCCTGGGTTGAAGGCTGCAGATTGGCTTGAAGCCAGCGGAGGAGGGGACCTCCCCAGGTGAAGCTGGCTGCAAGGAGGAGCAGGGAGGCGAGTAGGGGGCTGGGGAGCGGCTGCAGCGTGGTGGCTGTGTTGCACAGGTCCTGCTCACAGCAGTGGTGCCGCAGGGCGTAGGAGCGCGACCAGTAGGTGGCATGGCCCTGCAGAGGGCACTGGGCCCGTGGGAGGCAGCCCTTCCGCTCGATGATCTCATTCTGCTCTGTGGAACAGAATGAGAGAATGCTGAGGTCCAGGCAGGAAGGAGGTAAGGGCAGTGGGGCAGCAGGAAAAGCAAGATGGATGGATGGAGACTGGCCTAGAGAAGGGTCATTGGGCCAGAGTCCTACCTGAGGTGCCAATACTGATGCCACAAGCTTCGTCGTCCTGACACTCGGTGGGAACCGGGTAGCAGGGTTTGGCAAAGCTGCAGGTGTAGCAGCGGAGCCGACCTCGGGCAGGGGGCGGGGGCGTGGTGAGACCTGCGGGGAGGTGGGGGGTTGTCGGCAGAGAACAGGAGAGACAAAGAGGCCTGTGAGAGGCTGGAGCCCAGATAAGGGAGAGAGATTCACGCAGAGAGGTGACACACAAAGTGGGGAGAGGGAAGTGGGGAAAGGGAAGGAGAAGGGCAGACAGAGGTCGCGGAAGAGACACAGGGAAGGGAGGGGAGACAACTCAGGAAAAGAAAAATCGCAGAGGCAAGAGGGATCCAGAGGTTGGGAGAAACACACAGATATGACAGAAGCCAAGAGAGTCAGAGGCGAAGGCAGAGAGTGACACCAAAAGCCAGACCCAGGAAGGCAGGGTGGCAGTGAAAAAGTTAAGCAGATGGTGCCCCAGACAGAGAGCAAATAAGAATTGACACTGACCGCAAGGCCCCGCAAAGAAGCAAGAGGTGAGATAAGGAATAGGGGAGACAGAGGACAGAGGCAGGTCAAGATGCTGCAAGGAAGAGAGTTATTCATTCTCAAATGCCTTGGAAAAGAAACTTCTGGTTCCACCTTCTCCTGGCCTGAGGCCATTCCCAGGAGCTCTTCTTTCTGAAGCCCATGCAAATCTCTGCTCAGCATTCCCGCTTCTCCCACCTGCCCCCCCCTTACCCAGTGCCCCACAGAGGAACAGGATGCACAGGAAGATGCTGGAGGGGCCCATGGCTGGACCCAGGGCTCAGGAGTCTGGGAGAATGTGATCTGCACCCAGAGATCCCGAGAGCTGGAGCATCTGAGCGAGACAGGGAGGGACCAGTAAACAAACACACCTAGGGAGTGAATCTGGGGGGTGGAACCGGGACCAGATTCACCAGCCTGACGCAGTAGGGGCCCTGGTCCCGCAGCTCCTATGTCCCACACCTCTCACATCCTCCCCGCCCCCTACTCGAGTGGGCTAGAGCCCTCAGGGTCTTCTCTGTGCTGTGCTTTCTGCTCTCAGCTGTGTCTGCCGCTCCAGAGTTCTGTCTGTCACCTTCCCCCTCATTCCTCCCCACCTCCCCTTGTCTCAAGCTGTTCTCGGCTCTGTCAGCTCAGTTCCCTGTCTTTGTTTGCTCCATCCTTCCCCTCTCCATGCTTTGGAGTCTTTCAAGGTCACCCTCCTAGAAGGCCTGGCCCAGAATTGTTCCAGCGTGGTGTCTGTATGTGGAACCAACAATGCCCTCTCCCACCCTTCCCTCCACACAAAGCTCAGTTGCATAAGTGGGACCCCACCCAGCTTCACATCCCTTTGATCCCCCCAAGCCTCAACATTTGTACCCTATAATTATCTCTCCCAGTTTTACTACTGTGGAGGAAGGAATTAATCATGGGTGGGGCCAGAGGGACAGACGTGTTTCCACTGGCGGGGGTGGGGGGGTGTTTCAGAAAGACTGGGAAGGAATGCAGGGAAAAGATTCAGGAGGTGATGGTAGATTCTGGAAAACTGAGGTTTATGACCTTGAGGGAGGAGAGCCTGATCTGGGGAATCAGAGCAGGGATGTATCAGGAGTAAGAAAGGGGAGGGAGGAGGGCAGAGGAGACAGATATCCTTTTTTTTTTTTTTTTTCTTTTAATCTCAGGACCTCTTTATACTCATAAAAATTACTGAAGGCCCGAAAGAGTTTTTCTCTGTGTGGGTTAATATTGGTATTTACTGTAGTATTTACTACATTCAAAATCAACACAGAGCATTTTAAGTAGGTTTATTTAAAAATAAAAATAATAAATCTATCACATGTTAACGAAACACAGTTTTGTGAAAAGTAACTTCTTTCCCAACAACACAGGAAAGGAGGGTTGCTCTCCACTTTGGGGAATTACATAAAAGGCTGAATAGAAGATGGCCCAGTTGTCACATGGCTTCTGCCCTTAGGCAGTTGCGACCTGTTGTTTTGGTGATAGTACGTGGAGAAAAGCCAATCTCCTGTAGGTATGCAAGTGGGAAAGGAAGACCATTGAGGACCCTCTGGCCAGGAGTTCTGGGGCCACAGCCTGAGAACCGCTGCTGAGGATGGAGCCATCTGGGGACTCCGGAGAACGCCAGGAGCTCTTTCTGCCGCGGCGGGGGGGAGGGGGGCCTCCCTGTCGCTAGTGGGGCCCCAGTGCCTGCTGGGGGAGATTCTTTACTCCCTTTTTATTGCCCTATAAAGCCCAAGGCAAGGGGGATATAAGGCTGGCGGATCAGGGCCAGGGAGGGGGGTGGGAGAGAGGTGATACTGACATTGCTGGCAGACACAATGAACTCTCTACTGGTCAGGGTCCTGCTCAGCACCCTGTTGGGGTCTGCCCTGGGTAAGGAGGCAGCCAAGCCCTGTCCGCCTCTGCCAGCTGGCTCCCGGTCAGCCCAGGTCAAGCGCCTCTTCTCTTCTGCCAGGAACCCGCATGCGGTGCTTTGAGTGCAAAGGAGATTCCAGCAACTCCTGCAAAGAGACGGTGGCCACCTGCGGGGAGGGGGAGCACTGTGGCTTCCTGGAACGCAAGCCCCAGCCTGGCCCTGGGCAGAACAAGCTGTCTGGAAACCGTGAGTCCTCAGCTTCTCCCCCTTCCCCCAGCCCTCCCCTGCCCCCAGGCTCAGTCTGGCTCCAGGCAGATGGTGCCATGGCAGAGTAGAGAGATCTGGAGCCCCTTCTGGCTCTGGCACTGAGCCCCTCAGCAGCCCACTATCCCTGTCACCTCCTCCTCTTAACTCCCCAGAGTCTCAGAGGCCCATTCACTCCTAAGTCGTTGAAAAAGTTCTGTCCCTTGAACGCAGGGACCAAAATGTTAAACCAAACTTGCAGGTATTAGCTAAGGACTGGGGTGTGTGTGTGTGTGTGTGTGTGTGTGTGTGTGTATGTTTGTGTGTGCGCGCACATGTATATGATTTTGAAATAATTTTTGATTGACAGAAAAGTTCCAAAAATAGTAGAGTTCCTGTATGTCCTTCACCTCTCTTCCTCTAATGCTAACATCTAATATAACCATAGTACAATGATCACAATCAGAAAATAACACTGGTACGATACTGTTAACTAGGGGCACTTGGGTGGCTGAGTGGGTTAAGCTTCTGACTCTTGATTTCGGCTCAGGTCATGATCTCAGGGTCCTGAGATCAAGCCCTGAGTTAAGCTCCTGGCTCAGCAGGGAGTCTGCTTCAGGATTCTCTCTCCCTCTTCCTCTGCCCCTCCCCCTGCTCGCTCACTCTCAAATAAATAACTCTTTCAAAAAACACCAACTAATCTTCAGTGTAGCCAGATGATCTAGTCATGTCTTTTTTTCTGGTCCTATAGCCAAACCAAATGAGAGTTCATCAACCACTTGCAACAGCAAGCCAATAAAATCTGACACAGAGCTTCTGCAGTGAAGAAAAGTAGGCTATTTATTTGTGTGGTGTCACCCAGGAGAACAGGGAGCTGATGCTCAAAAGCCCCACCCCTTGCTCCTGACAGCTGGCAAGTGAGAGATTTTGAGGGCAAAATTGAGGCTAGGGGTCTTCTGAGAAGGTGGGCTCTGCTGACTGGACCCCCATGAGGTCGTGCTAGCAGGCGCTGTGGTGCCACTTTGGTCCCCCAGAAATCTTTTCCATCTCAACAGCCTTGGAATCTAAAAAATCTCTTTATTCTCCATGTTAGACATTTCATTAGGCCCAACCAATGATTATGTCTTTAGAATAGTGCTGATTAACTACTTGTCTGCAGGTTTCTTTGAGTGATAAGCCATCATTCCTGTCCCTTGAGCCTAGGCTTGTGTGTTCGTTGACTGGTCCAGCTGTGCCTGAGGGTGACAGGACATGGAGTATTCATTTTCCACCTGAACTGACAAGAGAGATGTTGGCTTCAGTCCAAACCAGGATCCCGCCTTGCATTTAGTGCTCACAACGTCTTAGTCTCCTCTGATCTGGGACAGTTCAAACCAGGATCCCGCCTTGCATTTAGTGCTCACGACGTCTTAGTCTCCTCTGATCTGGGACGATTCTGCTTCTTTGTCTTCCATGACCTTGACACTTTTCAAGAGTCCCCATAAGTTATTTTAGAGACCATCCCTCAATTTACATTTATTTGCTATTTTCTCATAATTAGATTGCAGTCATGGATTTTTGGCCAGAACAGCACAGAGAAGGGAGATCGGGCCTTTTCAGCACCTTTGAATCAGAGCGCTAGCAATGTCAGTGTTCATTTTGGTTACTTGGTTTCATGGAGGTGTTTTCTGGAGGGGACAGAGAATCCCTCCGGGCTCCTGGAAGTCACATCCGCTCTACCCTAGAAGGCAAGTCCTCAAGCCAAGAGTCCAACACTGCAGTCTTGTTTTTTCTCTCAGCCTCAGTGACCTTGATTCATCACTATCGAGCCTGTGTGGCGGCCCATCATTGCAATCAAGTGGAAACGGAGTTGGTGGGAGACGTGACTTACACAACCCACAGGGAATGCTGCGTCGGAGACCTGTGTAACAGCGCCGTGGCAAGCACCGTGGCCCCGCCATGTGTCTTGGCTGCAGCAGCCGCCGCCCTGGCCTGGCTCTTGCCAGCACTGTGGAGAGACTAGTAGGCTGGGGCGGGAGGAGCAAGGGAGCAAGGGAACAAAGGAGAGCTGAGGTGAGAAGACAACCCTCTGTGAGCCATTAAAATCTCTCCACCACTCTAGAGCTGACTGGAAAATGCCATCTATCTTTTGCTGATGGGAGAATTGCAGGAGTATTATGCGGCCTCCATGCTCTAGTTACCAAGTGTCAGCGGACTTAGTTACAACAGTGCACTCCTTTACCAACAAACCCCCAAAGGACAATGGAGAATCTGCCCTAAGTGACCCCTGGGGCCTATTGCTAGGGAGAATCTTCCTTAGCAGTGAGGACCACTGAGCAGGGGGAGTGGGCTCTGGGCTGAATGGGGGTCACCAGGAACCAAAGAACATGGTTGGGTTTCTTCCCCTTTCTCCCATTTGCAACTTGGTTCTCAATGTGACTCTATAGGATTGAGAAAGGAAGTGGAAACACCGTGTTGGGAGGGTGGCTTGCTGCCCTGCTTAGGAATGGGGCCAAGTGAGGCCCTTGACTCTAACCTGCTAAGAGGGTCCTGTGTTCCATCCCCATGCAGCTCTTCTACCGTTTTGGGGGAGCCCTCAAGTCAGGCCGCACCTCCTTCTTGGCAGTACACAGAGGTGTGGCCTAAATTTGGGATAAGGATTGTTGCTCCAAACACTGGACGCGTATGTCAACCCCAGACACAGGAAGGAAGAAGGATGGAGGCCTGAAAAACCCGTTTCTCCATTTGCCCCAGCCCAGCCTCCCAGGGAAAGTCCCTGGAGGATTCTTGAGGAAGGGCAGGAGCTGAGAGTGTTATCTCCCAAGAGGGGGGCCTCTGACAACAGGTCTTTTGACAAAAAAACACACAGTTTATCAGACATAGATATTTATTACTCAAAATGCAAAGAGGCGAGCATGGAGATGAGGTACGTATGGAGCAAGGGTTTGGGGAATCAACCCCATACAGTGAGGTCATCAGGTCCTTCCTGGGAGCCTTTGCGGGGGACTGGACAGAAGTCCCATTTCAGGCCCAGATCTCCATCCCTCTCTGAGCTGGGCATGGTAGAGTGCAGGACGCAAAGTGCGGAGCTATTCTGGGACCACTGGAGGATCTGGGATGGTCTAGAGGGATATAGGAAGGGACTCGGGAGAAGGTCAGTGGAGGATGTAAGGTGGAAGGATGGGTGGGGAGACCGCTGTCTAATTACAGAAATGTGAAGAGCCTGGAGAAATGCT